TTACGTTGCACTGGATCAGCTGCTCTTCAAATGTGCTTAATTGCACAAGGAGCAGCCGACGCTTATGCCGCATTTAGCCTACACGTATGGGACACAGCGGCTGGTGTTGTTATCGTCAGAGAAGCTGGAGGGGTCGTTATTGACACGTCTGGCGGCGAGTTGGACTTGATGTCCCGCCGAATTTTGTGCGCATCCACTCCTGAGCTGGCCGACAAAATGGCTGCTCAGCTGCACCAGTACACTTGCCTACCGAGGGATGACTGACCGGGGGAAGAATATGTCTGTTTTTGTGCACTTCGTGTTAAATGTTGTCAGTGGAGATATATATACACATTTGGGACATTCAACTCAACCCGCTTCGTAGAGCGTGATTCGCTCACTATTTGACTCGCAGAAATTTGAACATTTTTTGTGGAGTTACGAACGTGTAATAAAGTTTCTATCAGAAAGTAGTGTGATAAAAGAAAGAACATCCTGTTATCACGAGAACGACCAAGTTTTCTGCGTCTGAAAAATATTCTGACCGTTTCTGGGTAAATTAGGCTGTGTTCATGCACTTCTGATCTAACCGACAAGATTGCAAAAATCGTATTCTTCACGATGCCATAATTGCTCATCGTCTCGTTTTGAAAAATCATCGTTCTTTTGAGGAAAAACCTCATTTTTCTGATTTTCGCATTGGAAGCCGTTATGCTCATTCGCAAGACTGCTACAAGTTTCCCTTTTTTCTGTACACTTCCGTTTGTCCGATTAAGGCGAAAATTTTCCCACTTCTTCCACCTTCCTTGGACACAATTTCATGAAGATTTGTTCAAAACTCCTCAAAATATTTACATTTCTTCTGGTCTATTCGTTCGCCCTGATTCCCTCGGATGATAATCTTATGAATCTTTTGTAGGCGAGTGTTGCAGATGAGAGTAGTGAAGGATGAACGCTCCGCCAACGTTTGAGTCGTTTCTGTTGTTCGAAGGAGAGAAAAAGTGAGGGTCGATCGCGTATTTGCATTTGTTTTCTTTAATCTGAACAAATTTTTGCCACTGTCGTTTCCGAAGGATCGTGAAACTCGGGGATACGAAAGTGCCGAACGCAGCCATCTTCACCATCAATAAGGAAGATCATACGTTGGGAAACCTCTTGAAACAGTGAGTATTTCATGCATCTTGCAGGTTTCGCCCTGAGGTGCTCGAAAATCGTTGACATATTCGAATGATTGAGGTACAGTATAAATAATTCTAAATCGTCGAATTGGACCCTGTCTTGGTTTCTGTAATTTATTTGTGTGGCGTTAGTTTTCGGAATAATTTGCGTGCGAAGTATACGGTACACAGAAAACGGGCTTGTGAAAAGTATTTGAAAATAAAATGTGGGCCATGTACGGAAATACTGTACTGTACGTCAGGTCCTGTATTAGTGAAAATCCTGTACTGTACTTAGTTCTTCATGTGACCGAGTGTTATTGTGTTGGATTAAACTCATGTAAAATTAATTATTCTTGTTCAGACTCGAGTTTGAGGCGACACCTACATGCGAGTATTTCGAAGGAATGTGTAAAACAATTTTGTATCCTATTCCGTATTTTCAAACCACTTTACCGGTGTGTGATGAAAGATTTTGAGCTTTCATTTTTATTTTTCAGTCAATTGTTGAAGGATCCGAACGTTTTATTCGCGGGATACAAGATCACGCATCCCTTGGAGCACAAAATTTTGCTTCGGGTACAAACTGCACACGAAACCACTCCGCAGGAGGCGTTGATGAACGCTATTACTGACCTCATTTCCGAATTATCGCTTTGGGAAGAACGATTTAAGGTAAGTGTTCAGTGTGTCACGTCGATTTGTATCACAGAGATCTGATTTTTAGACTCATGAATACTGTTTCGAAGATTTTCATCATTGTTTATTCAAAAGTTGAAGTTTTAAAAAGCCGCTTCCGGTTGTGAATGATGAAATTTACTCCCATGTCAAATCTCGAACGGATTCTTACGGTTAATCTTGGCATTTTTGAAGATCCCTACTTGATTTGGAACTAAACTACTAATTTGGTTCTTCAAGTTTTTGGATCATACAAGAAGAATTAGTGCACGTATTACAGTACCTTGAAGAAGAATTATGTGTTTATTTTTTTGACTGAGGATCTTTCTTTTTACGCGTAAAGCGTTTTGGAATTTAAGAAATGTTTTGGAAGGACTAAACGTTAGTCACCTCATCTCGTAAAATTCACTTGCTCCGAAGTTCGAACGTTAGACGCAAGTTCCGTTCGAGCGCGTAAAAGAGTTACTATTTGATTGAATCGCATCAGGTTCTTGTTCTCTTCGGAAGGCTTTACGGAATGGATTACGTTTATTCGATGAATTGAATTTTTTTCTGACTGGATTTTCTATTTCTTTTGTTTTTCAGACGGCGCTTCAAGATAAGCAGGACGGAGACTAGATCCCAAGTTTTCTTTTTTACAAAGAGCCTCATTTTCTAGTGTCGTGTGGAAATTTTTTGTCAATAATTGTAATGGGTTCTTCGCGTAAGCGCCGTCACGGGGAAGACGAAGGAGAGCTCGAAGAAGACGCGAGTCGGAAGCATAAACACAAGAAACATCGGCATCGCGACGAAGAAAAGATCTCCTCCCCTGATTCAAAACACAAGAAACATAAGCGACATCGCAAAAAGGCCAAGAAATCTAAGAAGAAGAAACGCGTCGAGGACGATTACGAGGCCATCAGCGACGATTCTTTGTCTGGACGGGATAAAACTAGAGTAAGAAGCGGCGGTGGGGAGGATAATGAGAATAATGATGACGATTTGTCATCTTTGTCGCTGTCGGGTGACGAAGGGGGGAAATCCGAGAGCAATCAAAAGCCGGAGAAGAAAGGAAGCGAGGAGGAAAGTGAACGAACTGAGGAGAAATCATCAGCGTCGCTTAGTATCGAAGAGACGAATAAATTGAGAGCCAAACTCGGCCTGAAGCCTCTGAGAGTTGAGCCGGAAAAGCCGAAAGAGGTGAGAATATTAGTCCATTATCTGAAAATTCCGTCATGAGGAGACCCTTCACAAAAAAAAAAAAAAAATCGTATTTATGTTTGTGCTTCAAGATTTGTTGTAATGGTAGTTCATCAATTTCGCACATGGGAGGAGTTGCTAATTTCTTAGTTACAGTCGAACCTCGTTTAGTCGAACTTCGATGGAACAGCAAAAAATTCTAATTTTGGAGGTTTCGAGTTGGGGAACAAGCATTTTTTAAAGAAGAATTGCAGCAAATCGTAATTGGTGGTATCCTGGACCTGGAAGTGATTCTTATATGACTTGATTTGATGCTGAACTTGAAGGCAACGGTTTATTTAAACAATTATTCTTTCACTTCCTTTCAAAACACAAAAAGTTCCTTCTTTTATTGCGTTTATCGTTTCTTTGTCAATAAAATAGCCGAAATACCTCAGAAAATTCGAGTTACACGAGGTTGAGAAGGAAGGCCTTCGAGTTAGGGAGGTTTTTATCGCATTTTGTAAGGAATTCAGACAAGGATTTGCAAAGAAATTCCACGTTAGGAGATATTTTACTTATTGAGGTTCGAATTATCAAGGTTAAACTGTGAACTGTGATCAGGTACAAGAAGGAGGATCCAGTCTTTCGCTCGAAGAAACGAACCGAATCCGTGCGAAAATGGGGTTGAAGCCGCTTCAAGTTCCCGAAACGACCCAGATGGAGGGCTTCGTGCACAAGCCCGCCACCAACATCAGCCAGGTCAAAAAGGAAGAAGACATTCGTGAGAAGATTCGTCTTCGTCGCGAGAAACGCGAACTAGAAGCCAAATTGAGGTCCAAAGCCCGGCCGATAGCAGAACAAAAGGACGACGATGAGGGCGACGACGACGCTGCCGGCGGAGCCGCAGCTTGGGTTAAAAGGGTCCGCAACGCGGAAAAGGAAAAACGCGAAGCCGAGAAGCGAGCCAAGATGTTGGAGGAAATGGACCGGGAGTTTGGGGTTGATGAAGTCGTCGAGTCTGAGTTCATGCCCGAGAAAATCAAGACTGCCAAGGCCAAGACATACACTGCTAATCATCTGAAAGGTTTGTGTTGTGTATTTCCGTGAATGTCAAGGTTGAATGATTTTCGAATGGCAGTGGGCTTTCTGCTCTAATTTCAAGTCATCTAATGCAATGATTTTCAGCATTTTTCTTGACGAGTGTCACTTCTTAAAACAATTTCATCGTTCCCGTGCCACATGTTCAACCTGCAATGAAGATACTGTACGTGCAACGTGCAAAAATTCCTCGTATCGTGAGCTTAATGTTTAGATTTTCTCTTCCTGGACTTGAATGAATAGTTGTTGCAAGTCGATGTTCGAAATGTTGCGTAGTTTTCTTTACACTCTCATGCAAAGGAATTTCAGTGCAACGATTTGAATGCAATGGAATTTATCTCGTGTCCTATTCCCGAGCGCTCTTGATGGTTAAGAACGCTATGACTTGAAACAAAAATTCTGCCTTTCTTGATTGATTTAGGAGAGAATCAATAAAAGTCTGAGACAACCCACGTTGAAGATTTCAAGGTAAACGTATTTATATCAATCGTAGATTTCGGAAAATGCGAGAAGAACCAAATGTTTGAACCAACCCTCGTTCCGAAAAAAAAAGAAATATTCTTGAAACTAACCGTATGTCTTGTTTGCCAGGATTCAAAGTGAAGCATTCGATGGACGATATCGCCGAAGGCACGGACGTAGTTCTCACGCTGGAAGATAAAAACGTGCTCGACGAAGAAGAAGACGAGCTGTCGAACGTGAACCTCAAGGACGTTGAGAGGGCCCGCAAAAACCTCAAATTGCGTGCCAAAAAGCCCGGCTACGACGCTTACGATGAAGACGAAGAAGAAGAAGATGCCAATGGCCGCGCTTTGTTGCGCCAGTACGATGAGGTGATTGAAGGTGAGAAAGCCGACTCCTTTGTCCTCGGCGGCGAGAAAACCCGCGCCAAAACTTCTGAAGCTGAGAAATTGGCCATCAAGAACAAGCTGAAACGTGTCGAGACTCTGATGACTTCCTCGGACGTCCATTCTCTCGCCCGGGAATACTATACCAAGGACGAATACGATGCCAAGTTTAAGAAGAAGAAAAAGAAGGCGAAGCCTGACGGCTTGAGATCCAAGAAGAGTAGCAAAAAGCGCGGATTGACGGCTGATGATTTGATGGACGATTTGGCGGAACCCGAGGCTGGGTTGCCTGAGCCCATGGATGTGGTTTCGGAACACGAGGACGAAGATGAAGGGCCCGCTCGTGGACTGAATGACGAGGATTTGTCTTTCTTTGTGATTGATCCGGATGAAGCCAGGCTGGAGTTGGAAGCACAGCTGAACCGAGCTCGGAAGCTAAAAAAGGTTTGTTTCGGAATCCTGTCTTGATTGATTCGGATGAACAAGGTCCCTCCGTATTTTATTAGTCTTCTTGTTGCAGCGTCGCTAATAATGCGAAATTAAATCCTTGACCGTTCTACTACCACAATTAGAATTTTTTTATTGGAGAATGCGCCTCGTGTTCATAAACTTTTAACTAAAACCACAGTATTTCATCTGCGAATGTCGAAAGCCTTCGCATCAAATTTTGTTTCTTGAGGATCAGAAGAGTCCGTTGATTCTAGACATGTCACTTGGCAATTAGTTTTTCTGATGAATTTAGTGATACAACACTTCCCCAGGATTCGGGATCCTAACTCTTCGTCCTAGAGATGAATATGATGAGAATTTTTTAAATTGATTATTGATTCAGAAGATAGGCATATTCTGGAGTAATTTTTCAATCCAGGAGCCCATTAAATTGAATGCGCCATCGAAAATGAAACGCACTCGTGATTTAGAGCTTTTTTCTGTTGAAGAAACGCTTTTTAAATTTGGGTTTCAAAAATATTTGATTGAAAAGAAGGCCTCTTGCTGAGCTTGAATTTTAAATTTGGTCTTGTGATCGAATCCTGGATAAATTTGATTGTATCTCTCAGGCGAAGCTAGAGACTGGATCCCAAGAGACTTCGGTGGAGCGTTTAGCACGTGAAATTCGAGACGGACGCGAAACCGAAGCGCAGTCGTCGGATACTGGTGCAAAAGTGACCTTCAATGAAATCGCAGAATTCGCGCGTTCTCTGGGAAGTCTTCCCGAGGCCGCAGCTCCGCCAAAAGTGATTGAGGAGCCGAGGGAGGAAACACCCGAACCTTTGCCATCGTCTCCAGAGGTCATGGAAGTTCCCGAAGAGGACGATGGTCAGTTTTCCCACTGGGTTGCTACTGGTTTTCTGGGAAAGGCTCTTGCAACCGCTTAGATTCCTCAACAGGAAGAAAAAAATATTGTACAGAAAGATTGAAAATGCCACCACATCTTCTCTAGTTACGCTTCAGAACTGCATGTCGCAAATTTTGGTGGATTTGGTCCAGTTTCAATACGTTAAAATTGTTTTAAGCCGTGCAGCGTCTTCTTGAGTTGAACTTGACCAAGTCGTACTGTAAAATGAATTTTTTTTTAATGCTGGAAGCCCTGTTTTAGTGATACAGCATTTTAAATTCTAATTTTTCTTCATTCAATTATTAAATTATTAAATCTTGATTAAAATTTGTTTATTCAAAAAGAGTTTGAAATGATGACGATTCTTCACGTACCCTGTGGCTGTTTCCCGAAATGTCTGTTCTGATTGCTCCTAAAACCATGAATCTCTTTACAAGGAATTTTTGATGGGTCCCTGGGGGTTTGTTATGATGAGATTTTTACTGTAGGATGCATGAGCTTCGTGTGCTCCAGTCAGGTTCGTATCGGTAGCTTCTGAATTGGTTAAGGGTTCAAGCGACTCCAGTCTAAAATTAACGAAAGCAGTAACCGACGTTGAAGTGAAATGAGCTCTTCAGTGAAATTTGGCATCTATTCTTCTATTAGCGGATGATGATGTCATCGAAGTGCGACGGGACTACGCCGGGAGGTGGAACAAGGTAGAAGAGCAGAAGAAACTGAAAACCGAGGAAAAGTCGGACGCTGTTCTCGAGGAAGAACCCGACGTTTCCTCGAGCATGGTTGCAGCTCTCAAACAAGCTGCCAAGAAGGGCTATCTGGACGAAGGCACTAGGAAGAAGCAAGTTTCCGGATTGGGGTTAGCTGCCCTGAAAGCAATGAATTATGCTATTGAGGACAAGGCGTCGATGGAGGAGGAACACAAGGGCCGGCGAGGAGGCGGATCCGGTGGGGAGCGGTATTCGGGTCCCATCATGGATTTCAAAGACAAGGATAATTATAAGCCGGAAATCAAATTGGATTACATCGATGACCAAGGCCGGATTTTGACTCCGAAAGAAGCATTCAGGTCGGTCATGTTCACCGTTCCGCTATTGATATTTAGACTCGAGTGGTTTTGAAATCCGCGGCCATTCCAAAATTATACAATTATTACTACAAAAAGAGAAAAAAACTGGGATGAAATGCAACCAACTGACATTTGTGTACGAGTAAGAGATGTAATGAACGGGTAGAAGCAGGTCACTCAAAAGTGGGTAAGGAAAAACATAGTGCCCTTGAATGACGTATGTGAAAGCCCGAGAATTACCCAAGGGGCTCCAAGATTTAAAAAAATGACAAATGTAAATTCAAGGATTTGCGAATTTTCGTTCCCGAAAAAATTTTAAACTGTTGATTGATCACCATTACATAGTCAATACGAAAAATTGCAAACTTACGTAAATGGTGCCAAAGAGTGTAAAAAAATTGAACTTCGAAGAGACTGATTTCGTTCAAGTGACTGACTCGTGATTGTTTGGTACTGTACACATTTTTATTTTTGACGTCTTTTTTCTCTCTGATGTCACTCCGCTGCCGGAAATTTTCTCACGCATGCGTTTCCTTCTCAGATATCTTTCACACAAGTTCCACGGTAAGGGATCGGGGAAAATGAAGACTGAAAAGAGAATGAAGAAGATGGCGGAGCAGACTTCGGTGATGCTGATGAGCTCGACGGACACGCCTTTGGGAACTGTTGGAAAGATGAAGGAAAAGCAGAAAGAAAGTCACACTGCTCATTTGTTGTTGAGTGGTACAAAGTTGACTGCGGCTGGTGGGTTGTTGAGTAAGCATAGGAAATGATGGTCGTGTCACGGGGAGGAGTTTTTCTTGGCTTTTTTTTTTGACGTGGGTCTAAGCAAATCGTGGTGAATAAAGAGCATTGATGAGAGTTTAGTTTCCTAGCGTCTTTCGTTCTTCGGTGCTTTTAAAAAGTGTACATGAATTTGATTTGAATTATGTTACGGATTGCACATTCGCGTTTTTAAATAAATTATTTTCCAAGACAAACAGAGGAGCAAGGAAAGTCGAGGAAACAAATTACCTCTCTTGAACGTATTTTTGTGAGAATTTCGAAGTAGGAAGCCATTGCGTAAATGTAATGCTGAGGTGATACAACGATTTGGCTGTTGTTGGTCTGATATGAATCAGTGTCAGATGAAGTTGAAATTTCATGAACCAGCTTGGATATTGTGCGTCCACATGCTTGGAACCTAGGTTTTAAATAGTAAATTCTTGTGCTTGATTGAGGTTAAAGTTAGATATTCAGCAGAGCAACTGACTACTTCGGCACATAATGAGACCATGGTTTTTTGAAAGCGATGTATTCTTCTGATGGAACATGTAACCTGTGTCAGAGGTTGTGAATGCCTGTATGTGGCTGTGACTTCACATAGTACACATGGTTCACCATGAAACCAGAGACAACGGATATAAATTGTGTCTCAATCAAGATGCGAATGGAGAGTGGAAAGATTCAATGTTGACAATAGGCCTTTGATTTTAAATATAACATCTGCTGTGGTGCATGTACAATATTGGCTTGTACGCTGTGTATATGCAGTGGGTGCCTTTAATTGACCAAGAAATCTCTCCTGCTCGGCGCATTTTTGGGAAAACGAAGGATAACGTTTCCAAATAACTTGGATTACCATATTTGAATATAGATATTCTTGCATGGCACTGGATGTGACTGCCAGCTTCTTTTATATTTTTGAATTATCCAAGAAGGAACTTATATTTTGTTCATCCTTTCCAAGAAAAACATTTTTAGGAATTGAAAAATGCAGATCCAAAAATGCAATTTAATGAGGAAGACTCCACAATGAAGTCAAGAAGAGAGAGAGAATATGGCTTAAAGAATAAAGACTTCTTTTCTGAACTAAGTTGACTTCCCCCAGAAGAATTAGGGAATGACGCACCTTTTCTTTTGCAGAGGAATGCAGTTCACCTACCATTACAGCACAGTACTGTACTGCACAGTTTTACTTAAGCTCTGTGTTCTCAATGTCGAAAAAAAATTATGGAACCAACATGGAAGATTTGATTTTGGCGCGAATACACCACTTGCGATCACAATGAGCGACGTGCTACCATGCAGGATTGTTTTTCGGCCGAGTGATGGTGACGTGAATCCGGATCCCAAGTGTTATGTTGCATGATATTCTCGAATTTTCCTCCAGGATCCGTGTGTCCAAAGAATTGTGTGCGCAGAATTTGAATGTGAAGCTAGCTTTGACTGTCGAAGTCTTTACAAGTTGTCTGAAGAATGGCTCATACACCGCTTTCCGAAGGCTTCTTCGAGGTTAGTGTAATTCTCAGTATTTACAATAATGACGATTGATACAAAAACATTCTTTTGTTGTAGCGAGTTGCACGGAGCGATGGAGGCCAGACTGATGAACAGCCCGTTCTTCAAGTTATTGTAAGTTTATTTCCGTTACGAGGCTTTCTGGTGGATTTTTGTTTGATGTACAAGTGCCCGTGGAATTGTGAATCCATGCAAGATTATGTTCCTTCAGATGGAAGCAATTGCGCAATTGACCATATATTTTGATCTCGAAACCTTGACCTTTAGTATATATTTTTGCCATTGTACATTTCGGCATTCATCGCGATCACTTTTTTGTAAGAAGCCGACGCCCAGGGCATCATCGCGGTTAATTTCTTAGATGCTGCCGATATCACTGACCTGTTGCAATATATGTCCATTTCAGGGTACAAGGCCATTGAACAACGGCGAAAGATATCGCTTGCTCGTTTCTGATGGTCTATATTGCAATCCCTGGGTAATGTTGGCGACGCAGTTGAACGAATTGGTTATCAACAAAGCAATTCATCGGTTCTGCGTCATCAAAGTCCGAAAACATATTTGCAACGTGATGAACGCCAGCAAAAATAGCGATTCCAGCAGGTTAGTTTCTGACATGTTTGTAATTCATTCACAATATGAAAGAATGATTCGAAACATTGAATAATCTCGTTGACTGCTTGGTGCATTCTCTTCAACGTCTTCGCTGAAGTTTGTGTATCCCGTGGGTACTTCTCTTTGATCTTGATCCGCGTTTGAACATGAAGGTAAACGACCTGATAATGGTTCAATGTATCGTATGCCTTACGCGTGCATCTGAAACTGTATGTACTGTATCACGAAACCTGTTTCATGATACATCTGGATACGTGATACATTTCAATTTCCCGAATGCGATAGATATTTCAGACACGCCGTTTGGAACATAGAATTTTATAATTTAAAAATTTTAGTGATGTAATTGGAGTGAGGGGGTTGATCGACGACGCTTCTAATAGAGAATTATTGAATTAATTCTTGGTTGAAGCGGAAGCCGTTCAGATTCAATTTTGGTCGCTTAAATTAAATGAAAATTTTGACATGACGAAGGCAGTAGAGTATACGTTTCACCCATCTGTTTTCTAATCCTGCACCCCAATCCTGTAGGACGTCGAAACGGTCTTCGATGAATGAAGTAATGCATCACTTGCATTTCCGAAATGATCCTTCATCATTAAATTATATCCGATGAATATATGCTTCTGGGTAGATACTGTACGATAAATGTCCGAAACAATGTGCACCTTTACTCGTCGTACGCATGAAAAAAAAACCGGAGATTTGATCTTTGTGAAGTTATCTAGGATCAGACATCGAAGTGATCGAAGTATCTCAAACCTCATCGAATAAATAAAATCAATTCTCCAGTAGGAAGATATTGATCTTGCTGGAGGTTGACGTCCTGCATGAAGGCGAATCCATTGGACAAATCGGGAATCCGACGCAGTTGAATCAAGATGGCAGTGTGAGCGCCCCCGCGTCTTCTGAAACCACCGCCACGACACCGGCGCCGAAACCGACCACGAACGGAGTCTCCGGAGTAAAAAGACCCTTGTCATCTCCGAATGTCGCGGAACAGCCAAAACCTAAGACCAAGTCGCACGTGGCAGCGTCGAACGATCTCAGCAAGGAAACCATCGCGCCAATCTCTTTCCTTTCGCCGTATCAAAACAACTGGGTTCTGAGAGCGAGAGTGACGCAAAAGTCTGATATCCGGACTTACTCGAATTCCCGCGGTGAAGGAAAGTTGTTTTCTATGACGATTGCCGACGAATCTGGAGAAATACGGGTCACTTTCTTCAATGAGGGTGTTGACAAGTGAGTTTGCTCGTTTGGAACTTCGTGTATGGTTCGTGGAAGCCGGCTTTGGTTTGTTGATTTCATTTGTTAATTTACTAACAGAGTTTTCTAAATGTTGTTACACACGTACTGGCAATGCCTCGTTGAAATTTCCCGCATTTTTCTATCACCGCTGAAGAAAATTATGACCTAGCGCTGCGCAGATTTCACTTGACCTATTTAACTCGTCAGATCATTCAAGTGAAATTCAGAAGTACAGTACGGTATTGTATTCCAAATTAACATAAAGTAAATAAATCATCTGACCTTATCTAAATCGTACACTGGCAATTATTTCCTTACACCAAAGCTAACCGTTAATTAGGTAATCTAACTTTTGTTCCTAAAACGTAGGGTTACAAATGATTACAGAATGTTTTTTAGGGCAGCTTGAAATAAAAAACAAATCTTCCATTAATGGACTTTATTTTAATTGTTTTCTTTTAACTAGGAACTTCGACAACCTGGAAGTTGGCCGAGTGTATTACATCAAGGGTGGTAGACTGAAGGCTGCGAACAAACAATACAGTTCAGTCAAACATGAATACGAAATTACCGGGGGAAATGAAACTCAAATAATTCCCTGTGACGAAGACACGAAAGATATCCCGAGGACTTCGTTCAACTTCGTGAGGATTAAGCAAATTGCCGATACGAACGCTGATGCGATTATTGGTGAGTTGCAAGCTTAGCGTTTTCAATTTTGGAGATGTTGGATGAAACCAGATGACTGCAGTGAATGAGAGAAATGATGCGGAGAAATAACTGAAGTAATGCAGGATGAATTCGTATGTGTATTGGCTAATGTGGAGCGCATTATATATTTTTCTTGCCATTAATTTCCGGTACTTCCTTGTTATATCATTACCCATTTTTCTTTGTCCCGTGAATTCAGTATTCGTGCGATGAAAAATTAGTTAATTACGTTAGTTAAAGAGAAAAGGAACTACATCCGCTGATACTGATTTTGGGAGGCAGTTAGGTAAAGTTAGGTTAGGTCAGGTTATGTTAGTTACAAATATCTTTTAATTAACATAACCTGACCTAACCTAACTTTATCTAAAATCAGTTTCAGTAGAAACCCAAAGAAAGCAGAAACTGATTTTGGGAGGCGGTTAGGTGAAGTTAGGTTAGGTCAGGTTAAATTGGTCAGAGGGAAGGTACTGAGATAACAGGAAAGTACCGAATTTCCACTAGAAGCATTTTGTTTCAAGAGGTTCAAGAGCTATCTTCTTTAAAAATTTCAGCAATTTCTTGAGAGTATTTCCCTGATTTTTTTCCTGTTCGGTGTTAATTTTAATTTCATGGAGAGGGAATCCGGGGAGGAAAATTTTCCACGCAGTGTTTAGTGTTCAGAAATCTTTGGTCTTTAGGTGAATTTGGTGTTTCCTGGCTCGAACCTGATTTTGACTGTCAAATTTCAGATGTTATTGGAGTTGTGAAATCAGTCGGCGACGCGACGACGTTCACTGCCAAGTCGTCGCAGCGTGAGTTCACGAAGCGTGAACTCGTCTTGGTGGACGAAAGCCGAGCAGAAATCAATTTGACGCTCTGGGGAGACACAGCTGTGAAATTTGAGCACGCTGACAACCCAGTCATTGCCATTAAGGGTGTCAAGGTGTCGGGCTTTGGCGGGAAGTCGCTGTCGACCACACAGTCTTCTTCCATTTTTGTAAGTTGCGTTCGGGATCGAAAGTTGAACAAAGAATATTGAAAATTTTTGCTAATTTTCGAAATGTGCACTGGCTCAGACGATTCCGCTTTTCAGAGAATTTTGTATAGTATTTTTCTAATTTCTGAAATAACTGCGTCACTTTGTCTCTTTCCGCGAAGAACACTTTGACAATAATTACGAATGTTTGGCTGCGATCATTTTAGAAGCTAGGAATTTTCGCATGTTTTCAGTTTTGGAGAAAAGTTGGTTGCCGTATTGACAGTACAAAGATGTTACCTGCAGTGGAAAATTCTGTGTATTTAAAGTGTTTCAGATCGAAACACTGTAAATACATGAAAATTCAGGAATCAGGAAAATTCTCTGATTCTTGAAAATTGATGATGAATGCGTGTGAATAGATTTTTCTTGATTGCTCTAAGGAGTCTAAGCGACAGTGATGCCAGTGAAATCAGTCATCATAAACTGGAGAACATTTAAATTCAGAACGGTACCAGCCAGCGGAAGTACTTCGGCAATCATCAGGCATTCGAGCTACAACTTGAATAATCTCAAAAGCCTAGCATTTTCGATTGACTATGTGTGCAGTTCCGACTGGTAGTGACATCGATTCACACTGAAGCAGTTTTAATTATGTTTGGTGGTGGAAGAGACAATTTAATTAAATGAAGAAGTAAAACTTGGGCTGTAAAACCCGATATTTTTTTTAAGGTTGCATTTTTCAATTGAAATTCAAGTTCAGTAATATTTTCCTATACTGATGGACTCTCTCTGGTACGAATTTTAAGAGACCAGAAAAAAATTCGTTGTAGAGAACCCCTCCAGATTTTCTTGAGATGTTAACTGTAACATGGCTAGGGAACGATTTTTTTTTAATCTTGTGGGATCAAAAAAATCGTTTTAGAGAGAGTCTACCTGCATACGAGGGTTCTAACAAAAGTTCTCGAAATAGGAATTAAAATCCTTCACAGCCGCCAATGTGGCAGCTGTGAAAGCGGCTGTTGATGAAAATGGCGGAATCGCCTTGGAAGATGTGCAGGCAACCCTTAGAATCAATGCCACGTTAATTTCAAGAATTCTGAGGGGAAAGGTGGGCTGCAAAAACAAAATCTGCAGGAATGGCGCCTCATTTTTTGAGTGGAGAGTAAAACTCTGCCAGGGGGAATTTTGCAAAACATTAAAAAAAATTGTCATACTGGGCTGATTTTTTTTGTGTGCCAAAGAATATGTTTTCTCTAAAGAATAACTTTTTTTCAGCTCAATTGTATGCCAATTTAATTTCGATTCCGAGAACTTTTGTTACAACCCTCGTACATATTTCGTACAACCAACCACGCTTTGGGAAAACTATGATTGAGACATTGTATCTTGTACGCCTCAACAAATGTTCCGTCATTTTTTGTCCTCTTTTTGATGTTGAAGGAATCATGCTGTTGAGATACTGTATTATTGCGTGAATTGTGAGTAATTCATTGCGTAATTTCCAGACGAACCCCGTGGACGTTCCCGAGGCTCACAAGTTACGAGGCTGGTTCGACAACGGGGGAAGAACGGAAGTGGTTGAAGCCCTGACGACGCAAGGGGGATCATCTGGAGGACACGTTTCCGGAGACCTGGGCTCTGTGGCATTGGCGAAATTGCCGATCCCGGGCACGGATGCCCGTTACGACGCAGTATTGGCGTGTCCGGTGTCTTTCCGCGAAGCCAATGCCGTGTACAAGTCCTGCAGCAACAAGGATTGCAAGCGGAAAGTGCAGGATGCCAATGACGGAACTTACTTGTGTCCCAAGTGCAACATCCCGAACAACACCGAGTTTACTTACAGATACATGCTGAATGTGAGTTGGAGGAGGGGGCCATTTCATCTTGGATAGTTGCGACGAAATTCCACAACCCCTCGAAAGAAAAAAAAACATTTGACGAAAAATTCTTCGGAATAATGTTAGAGCCAGTCAAATCTTTGTCGTTACGACAAACCCATTGAGATTCGGAAGGAAGCTTCGTTACACCGTGAATTTGTCAAATACAAAATAACTTTTTTTTGGTCAGGAACCTGAAGACAAATTCGTTGTAAGCCGTAATTTGCTGCTTAATGATTCGTTTTAACGAGATTCTACTGTACGAGAAATTCAGAGATAAATTTGGTCGATTGGAATATGTTCGGGAAAATAAGTCCTGTGGAAAAACTGACCAAAAATCAATACGTTATAACAAATCTTGACACTTTGATTTAGCAGGAATTTTAATCATTGTTCATTTTTCCGCGAGAAACTTATTGAATTTATTTTTTAAATTATTCGTTTTTTAGGAATTCTTGTGAAGTACTGTAGTTGTGATGAAATTTTGCGTGTAGATGGGCTTTTTTCTCCTGAATATTTTTGCTTAAAAATGTGGACATGTCTTCTTACAATATTTGATGGCTCTTGGATTTTCGATTACAGTACTGTAGAGAGACACATTTGGTGCAGTCTTACTGCTCCCTATGCAGTTTTCGTGAATTTTCAGTAATGGAACTACAGTATTACTTTTTCACTGTTCTGTTCAATTTTCTCGGGAATAATTTCAAACGCTGGGGAATTATTGAAATTAGATGCATGGAAAGGCGGCCGGTTCTGTGGTGTAGTGCAGTGTTCCCCAACCAGTGGTCCGCAGACATTTTTTGCCGGTCCACGGGAAATTTTCAGCATAATACATGCATCAAAAGTAGGGATGAGTTTCTATTTTCATCACCTACAATTTTTGAAGCACAACCGCAGTTGAAATTATCTGATGACAAAAAAAAAATTGGCTTTTCTCTCAACGCCTCAGACAAAGTTTCACCTGCTGAAATAAATACAGGTAATTTTGAATTTTCGTTCTAAGGAACCTTTCTAATTTTTTGATGACATTCAGCTTTAGTTGCTTCATTGGTTCCTAACTCAATTTTTGAAAAAAATCAGAAACTTGTCATAAATTCTTTGAAGCATAAATTGTGAGTCTGCAAAATTTTAAGAAACTTTGCCGGTCCGCATAAAATGTTTTTTGATAATTTGCCGGTCCGTGAAAAATTTTAAAGAAATTTTGTCGGTACGCGGGTCCAAAAAAAGTTTGTGGAACACTGGTGTAGTGGAATGTGCTTCTGTGCGATTTAATCATGATTTATGCTGACCCTGTGTATATATTCGGCTCAAAATGGTGTAGCAGTGGTTTCCATCCTTTCTCTGATCGATATTGTATGCACAGGTACGTGGAGCAATGCTCGCGTGTCTGAATTTAGATGTGCCTTTTAGTAAGCGACGAAACTTTTTTTGGAGTCGAAACGCATAAACTTTTCTTTAGTATTCATCGTTATTTAAATTGTTGATGCGTAGACGCGCGTTTTATCTTGAACGACTCCTGACAATTTTGATGACATTAATTTTCGACAACGTCTTTTGGGGCAGGTTTGCTGCAATTTATTTTCGCCATCAAAATGTAACTTGAGCTGTTCTATGAATTGTTACCGTTGGAAAATTATCTGTTCGGTAAATTTTCTGTGATCCCAATGGACGTTTTAGAGACTACCTTGAGTATTAAAACATACGAGGGTTCTAACAAAAGTTCTCGGAGTAGCAATGAAAATGGCTTACAATTGCGCTGAAAAAAAATTTCTTCTTTAGGGAAAACATATTCTTCGGCACGCAAAAAAATATCTGCCCTGTTTGATACATTTTTTTCATAATTCAAGTTGATTTCAAAAATTCTGAGGGGAAATCTGGGCTACAACAAAAAA